TTAAGAAGCCAAAAGAATTCAAGTAAGGAGGAGCCATAGTCAGGATGACACACAATCTAGCAGCCACCACATGAAGGAGAGGAGAGCTTGGAATATGATATTTTTCATAGTATTTTGTCTGTACCCTTCCACTGCATTGATCATATTCTTGCTTTGTATTCAAATATATGTATATATTTTATATTTCCCTACCAGAGTATATACTCCTTTTTTTTTTTGATGAGGCAATTGGAGTTAAGTGACTTGCCCAGAGTCACACGGCTAGTGACTGTTATGGTGAGGCCGGATTTGAACTCAGGTCCTGACTCCGGGGCTGGTGGTCTATCCACTTTGCCACCTAGCTGCCCCTATACACTCCCTTATAGTAAGGATTGTATTTTCTTTCATCTTTGCATTGCTAATACCTATCAATCAACTTAGGTCAATGGGTTGCACACAGGAGTTTAATACATCAGTTTGAAGAAAGGTTGTACTTTCTCTCAAAACTACCTATAATCAGTAGTAGTAAATACTGTATATCGATGTTTTTCTCCTTTCAAAAGGAGTTATATTTTGACCAACCCAGTAAATGTTTGTTGAACTGAACATATCTTTCCAATAGCATTGGATTTTCTGTAAAGTCTATATTTAAAGGAACTAAGTATGTGTTTGACTCACAGATTGATGTTGTTTTTCTTACTCTGAATATAGGGAGAACTGTGGGATCCTTAACAGTGACTGCTAGTGGAGAGAATGCAATTTTCACAGACCAATGAGAATGACAGAAAACCTGGAAATGGATGCAGTCAGAATGGCTAAAAGGATGGGTTACAGGTTGAAAGCTTCAGAACAGAGGCCAGTTCTGTCTTTCCAAAAACAGTACCCAATGCTAAAGCCTTCCAAACACTGTAAGTCCACAAATTTCTAATGTACATCCATAATTGGTCTGCTTTAGTTCTAAGCTATGCTACAATGAAACTGGGGCGCAGAAAACCAAAATAAATTCATTATGAAGCCTAACTCAGCTCCTTCCTCGTGAGAGTCATCTGGGGTTTAGCGACTCAAAGCTATATCTAGCCACTTTCTGTCCCCCAAGAAACTACCTGAGACCCATTCCACAATTCTCATCATGGAGCAGGGATTTGAACCTTTCCATCTCACAACGAGATTACTGACTCTTTGTGATGAAATGGCAGGGCAGGAAGCCACTATGGCATCCACAGCTGGTCTTAGTCCTACATCACCGAGAGCCCCACTTAATTCTTTGTCCCAGCTGGGTAGGTTCCATCTCACATCTGGAACTGGTCTGGTTGTTCACTGCCTACTACTATCACACAAGGGCTTTATAGGCACAAAGATCCCTTCTCTAAATTCTGGGATGTAGAAAAACTCACTTTTCCCTAGTTCAACCTAGAAAAAGTTAGAATTTTTCAAAAAGAACATAACTAAGAAACTAATGACTGCTACAATCATCAAATCTATCTGGTATTGGTTTAAAAAAAAAACAAAACAGAGGGATCAATGGAACAGACATGGGAGAATCAGAAACAAGGGAACTCAATAACCCAGTGTTTGATAAAGTAGAAGTCATAAACTACTGAGGAAAAAACTCCTTATTTTAAAAAATCTGCTGGGAAAACTGGAAAGCAGTGTGGCAGAAATTAGGTTTAGATGAACACCTTATACCATATTCAACAACGCATTCTAAACGGAAACTGACTATAATATTAAAGATATTATTTTTTTAAATTGGAAGTATTATTTAGGGACAGCTAGGTGGCACAGTGGATAGAGCACCAGCCCTGGATTCAGGAGGACCTGAGTTCAAATCAGGCCTCAGACACATAACACTTACTAGCTGTGTGACTCTGGGCAAGTCACTTAACCCTACTGCCTAGCAAAAAAAAAAAAAAAGGAAGTATTATTTACCAAACAAGAGATAGAGACAATTACAAAAGATAAAACAGCAACAACAACAACAACAACAACAACAACAAAAAAGATGAAACAGACAACTTTGACTACATAAAACTGAAAAGCTTCTGCCCCATGGGTGGGGAGGGAGGAAGGGAAAGAATCTGGAACCCAAAGTTTTAAAAACAAAATGTTAAAAATTGTTTTTACATGCAATTGGGAGATGAGATATATAGACAATGGGGTATAGAAATCTATCCTGCCCTACAGGAAAACAGAAGGGGAAGGGGATAAGAGAAGGGGCGGTGATAGAAGGGAGGGCAGATTAAGGGAAGGGGTATTCAGAATGCACACTGTCTTGGCGTGGGGGGAAAGGGCAAGATGGGGAGAAAATTTGGAACTCAAAATCTTGTGGAAGTGAATGTTGAAAACCAAAAATAAATAAATTAAGAATTAAAACAAAGAGAAAAAGAAAAAGAAAAGCTTCTGCCCAGACAAAATTAATGCATCTAGGATAAAAAGGAAAGTGGTCAAATAGGAAAAAAAATCTTTGTATAAAATTTCTCTGATAAGGGTTTGGTATCCAAGATATATAAACAATTAATAAGTAAATAAATATGTGTGTGTGTGTGCATGTGTGTGTGTGTGTGTGTGTATATACTTATATGTATATGACTAATAGCTATTCCCCAATAGAAAAGTAGTCAAAGGATATGAACAGGGGCAGCTAGGTGGTGCTGTGGATAGAGCACCGGTCCTGGATTCAGGAGGACCTGAGTTCAAATCTGGCCTCACACACATAACACTTACTCTTACTAGCTGTGTGACCCTGGGCTAATCACTTAACCCCACTGCCTAGCCAAAAAAAAAAACCCCAACAAAAAAAAAGGGCATGAACAAACTTCTCAAAAGAAGAAATGCAAAGTATTTAAGACCAAATGAGAGAATGCTCCAAATTATGAATAAGACAAATAAAAATCAAAATAATCCTGAGGTTTCATCTCACACTCTGCAAATTGACAAAGATGACCAAAAAATAAATTTAAAAAGGCAACAGCCAATTTTGGAGGAGTTATAGAACGAGAGGAACACAAATACTTGCTAGTGGAGTTGTGAAATGGTATAATCATTTTGGAAAGCAATTTGGAATCATGCAAATAAAGTGACTAAAATGTACATATCCTTTGAATCAGCGACACTATTACTGGGCTTATATCCCAAGGAAGCCATCAATAAGAAGAAAATCCCCATATACACCAAAATATTTATAGCAGTACTTTTTTTGGGGGAAAAGCAAATGTTCATCTTTTGGGGAATGGCTAAACAAATGGTGGTAGATGGATGAATATTAATGTGCTGTAAGAAATTATATATGGGATGAATATGGAGAAGCATGGAAAGATCTACATGAACTGATCCAGACTGAAGTAAGCAGAGCCAAGAAAACAATATACACAATAACTATAATAAGGTAAATGTAAAGAACCATACACACACACACAAAATCAAAACTGAATGTAACAAAATTATAAAGATAAAGCATAACTTAAAAAAGGAGATATGACAGGACATCTCCCAGCTCACTGCTTCATGGCAGTACAGAGAGAGGGGAAGGAAGTAAGCATTTACAAACAGTTCTAGCTTTACATATACAAATTCAACTTTATATAAAGAATTCTGAAAGAAATCCTCATTCTTAAAAAATACCTATGTTAACTTTACTGTACAGTACTGTGCTCTCATTCTGTCTGTGCTCCTGCCCCCTGGCTCAGCACTCTGTGGCTTCCTACTTCCTTTACTTCCCCACCAAAAAAAATCCTCCAAATGAAAGAAGAACAGATGCTACTTCTGGATTAGGGGCTTGGCTAGAGACCTTCAGTATAGAGATAAGAGACCTTTGCTGCACTTTGACCATCTGCCGGTCTCCCACATGCCTGTCTTCTGTCTGCAATACTTTTGTTCCTGGCCCCACGTTTCACTCATCCTCTCCTGTCTGTTTCCATGTCTACCCTTTTTCTCCCTCTCCTACTATATTTCAGCCAGGCTTCTCTGGTCTCCACGTATCCTTGAACTGTGTGTTGGCCCCCTCTCTCTATGGACCCACAGTCCTCTTCTTGCCTCCTTCCCTTCCTCCCTTCCCCATGTCCATGGGCAAATCTGCATTATGATTTTTATGTAGAGGTCTGTGGAATCCATAAAGCGAGAACTGTCTGTATACAGTACTCACTGTGTGCCAGGCAACTGTGCTAAGCAATTTATAAATATTATCTCATTTGATCCTCACAACAATCCTGGGAGCTAGGTGCTATTATTATCCTCATTTTGTAGACAAGGAAACTGAGGCTGGTACTGAGCCACTTAGCTGCCTCTAATACTGTTCATGTTTTTGGGCTTTTTCAATGTATTGATCAGTAATGATGATTTTTTTCCTCTTCTTTTTTCTTTTCCTTTTTTTTTGTCTTAAAAAATACTAATTATTATATGGAATGGCTTTCTGGGAGTGAGGAACGATACTGGGTATAACTATGATGACATAAAAAAAGAAATCAATAATATTTATTTTAAAATAACACTTTTAAAAGTAGGAAATAAAACAATCCATCAAAAAGGATGAGTATACAAAGCTCACTTTTTTAAAATCAAAATTTAATTAATTTAATTAGTCTGGCCACAGATTGGCTTGAATGGCATAAGTTTATAGGATGCCCCAGAGCTAGTTGCTTTCTCTTATTTCAACTCTACCTGAAGAATCCTAACCCAAAGTCCTCTTTTCAGTACTGAAGTATTTCCCTTTCTATTTCCAGCTTTCTCCCTCACTCCCTCTTCACCACCATACCAAGGACAGAGGGTCTGACTACACTTCTGGCCACTGATAATTCATATGAGCAACTACTCACCAATAGAGGACTAACCAATTATTGAATTACTTCCAACTGGAGTAACAAACCATTGCATGTTCATAGCTACACATTATCATATCTGGACAGCATCCAAATAGGCCAAAGCCCACCCAAAAATGATGTGCCTACCCACCCTGATCTTGTAAAGAAGCAGGACACCTCCAGAAACTCTAGCAGTTGAGAAATACCAGTGATAGAAGAACTTACTCTTTTTATACAGGACTTTAACCCTCTCTCTTTTGCTGGAAATGTTTCCCAAAGCCACCTGCACCTTAACCAAGCCATCAGCTACCTAGAGAAGGAAAGAAGAGTAAAAGAAATGGAGAGAACAATAACGGCAGGTTAACAGAAGCAGTTGACTGATGGAGTCAGGGCTTAGCAAATATAAAAGATATCATCATCAAGTCCCTAAGCTTGACCTACCTATAATACCTACCTCTCCCTCCCCCCACCACACTCCCAAATCCTTCACACATCACTCAGTCTCTTCATTCTCCAATCATCTACGTAGGCTACCCACTATATCAGGAGATCCCTCCATTTCTGCCTACTAATTTTAAATCTTCCATCATTTCCTATATTTTATGCTGTCTTTGTAACTATTCTCTAATTGCTTCTCCTGTGTTGGGCTTGTCTCTGTAAGCAGAACTTAAGCACCTTTCTCTCCTTCACACTGTAACTGAGCCCAGTGCTAGGCCTAGAGTTGGTGCTCAGTAAACACAGACTGGAAGAAAAGACTGTAGGTAGTGGTGAGAAATACAATGTAGGAATGAAAACTGATTTCTTTGGAAATTTTTATGAAATCAAACTGAAACCATAGTGAGTTTATAAAAACTGTACATCAGTTCATACTCTTCTGTCTAGAAATTTAATGAGCCTCATGAATGAGAGTGGGTGAGGAGAGACAGAAGCTAAAGCAGAAAGCTAGAAAACAGATTAGTCAGACAATTGTATTCCCTACCCATTAGCTCAGAACAGACAGGAAAGTTTGCCTCACTAAAAAAAAAGCAAAAAACAAATAAACAAAACAAAACAAACAAAAAAACAACCTACTTAAGAGATAACACTAAATAGAGAAGTGTCAGCTTGAAGTGAAGGTGAGCCTCACACACAGAAGATACAGTTGCATCCAACTAAAATGTTGATCCCACTCTCCACCTTACTCCTGTCTAAAGATTTAGATACTATTCATTTTTTTAAGATCCAACTCAAAACATCCCAGTCAAAGTCATACTCTCCTCCTCTGGAAAAAGCATTCATCATTAATACAATTCATTTGACAATCATATACCACTTTCTGACAGCTTTTCTATTGTGGTTCTGAATTTTTATTGAACTTTTCCTGGGTCACTATAAAAGTTCATCTCTTTAATACCAATATTATCCGCAGTTATAGTATAATGGAAAGAGCACTAGATGAGTCAGGGGATCTGCATATGAATCCAAATTCTGCTGCTTACTATCTGTGTAAGCTTACACGTGTCAGTTTAGCTCTTTGGTCCTCCATTTTCTCATCTTTAAAATGTAACTGATCATATGTTTTATGTAAGTCACATGTATGATGGGAAATGGAGGTGACCTGTTCACAGAGTGAAATGAGAAATACCAGATAACTCAAATATCTTGCTGAAATCCCAAAGATATTAAAAAGGACCCAAAGGAAGGACTCTAGCACATTGGGTAGATCTTTTGGGGAGGATTTACAAAAAGATCTGAATTAAGAACATAATAAAAAGGAATGAATCTACACCTGGAAAACTGTATGAGAGATCACAGATCTGCCTAAAATCCAATTTGTCTGCCATCCAACTTAAAAGCTCCATGAGGGCTGGGATAGTGCCATTCATTATATCTGGAATATGGTAAGTGTTTAAACCAAAAACTGAGCATTTATCTAGAAGAATCACTAGTCTCATTCCCAATTTCTCACCTGAGCTGTACAACTTGAATTACTCCCCTAGGACAGATAAATCTGAAGAGATGTCCTTTGGCTGAAGGCCTCCTGTGGAGTTTTGCTCAGTTTCTAAGTCAGGGTCTTTCTCAGAGGAGAGGAGGAAGGAACCATCAGGAGACTGGGCTGAAAATGGTCAACTGTGCCCCAAAATAATTTCAGTGGATTTATTTTATCCATTACCACCTTGTCGTAGGGTAGTCCTGTTCCTAATTTAGCCTAAAGTGACTGGGAATTACAACTCGTTGTTTTGATTTCCTAAGGTTACAGAATCAAGGTCCACCATTCATTCTGGTGTTTCATTCCCTATTTAAAGAGAAGCCTTGTTTGTATATAAACTGCTGCAGTTTCAGATCATTTCATATGCCTAAGGACTTGGAGGCTATAAAGAATATAACAGAAAAGCAATGGAGAATACTGCTTTGTATAATGAGGTTTTCTGTCCAGTGCTGTCATACAACCCAGACTCCTGCCTCAGAGAGATAACAGGAAGGACACAGAACACAGGGAAAATCACTGAGATGGAGTCATAGGCGAGTGTCACAGACAGGGGGCATCATTGGGGAAAATTCACTGAAGACCACATAGTAGGAAATCAGTGAAGAATCATGGCAGGGAGAGATTACTGAGGGTTACCAGTAAGAAATCAAAGGTGGGGTATCATCAGGGATTGGCAGTCAGTGGGAATATCAGTGCAGGGTGAAGAGTCACCAGGGCTATCACTTTGGTGAGAGTCATTAGGGAAGCAGTAAAGAGAAATCACAGAGGGTCACAAAATGAGGGAGTCATAATAATAGGAAAGTATCATGAGGGGCAGTCACTAAGGGTCACTGGGGAGTCAGTGAGAAGTCACAGAGTTGTCACACAGTGAGGGTCAAGAAGACACATGGGTCATCAATGCTAGCCACAGGGGGAAGGGAAAGGTGGTCAGGCAGTGGTCACCAGGCAGTCGCTGGGGGGAAGGGGAGGGTGTTCACTAGGCAGTCACTGAGTCAGGAGGGGGCTGTCACACTAGGGAAGGTGGTCACATGGAGAGGGTGGTCACCAAGCAGTCACTGGAGGAAGGGAGGTTACATGGGGAGGGTGGTCACCAGGCAGTTACTGGGGAGAGGGAGGTCACATTAGGGAGGGTTACGCACCAGGCAGTCACTGGTGGGGAGGTCGCATGGGGAGGGTGGTCACCAGGTAGTCCTTGGGAGGAGGAAGTCACAAAGTGGAGAAGGGGTGTGGTCAGTGGGCAGTCACATCCCTGAGTGGATGGGCTCGAGAAAGGGTCACGCAAAGGAGAATGCTAGGTTTGTGGCCAAAACCTCAGGTCACGGCTTGCTCACCTTCGGCGAGCCGCGCGCCCCGCCCGCCCCGTACACCCAGCGCTCCAGCTCTTGTAACCGGGCCTGTAATCGCTGCACTTCCGTAAGGGCCGCCATAGCTTCAGCCAGAACCAGGAAAAACTCAGGAGACGGGACATCCGGCTGATTGGAATGAGATATCCAATCCGAGTGCAAGGAGCCTGCCTCTGAAGGAAGTGACGACACGAAATTCCCCAGCTGCGGCCTTAGTCCCGCCCCTCTCTTGCCAGAAGTGGCCTGGGAGAGGCTTTGTGGATGGACCAGATTGCCTAGTTACCTAGGCAACCAACCAACTTCGGACCAGGTCTAGATAGCTACAATATCTCACTTTCTCCCCGCTATTTTCCTTAAAATTGAGTACCTCTGTGGTCTCCTTTCCAGGCCTGCCCCCGCCTAGAGCCTTGACTTGTCCTTTCTTACTTAAGAATCTCCAAGACAGCCCCTACATATCTTGAAAGTCCCCACATTGGGGCCGCTTTGCCCCAGGAGTCTCCCAGCGCCCTCCAAGGCTCAGCCCCTTCCACGCCCCCCCACCTCGGCTCAGCCCCGCCCTTCTCAGCCCTTCCCACTCCAGTTTAGCCCCGCCCCCTTGGTTCAGCCACGACCCGCCCCAATGAACTCCATCCTGAGTCTCCCCCCAAAACCTTGGGTTCCCAGCTCCTGTACCCATCATCCCTCCCATCATTGTACTTTCGTGTCTTCCTGGGGAGCTGCCTGTAAAGTCCTCCATGAGAACGTAAGGTCCTTGAGAGGAGGAATCGTTTCATCCTTTGTATTAGTATGCCAGCGCCTAGCTTAGGGGTGTGGCACAGTTAATAAATGCTTGTTGATTGATAATAAAATAATCCCATTGCTGTGTGATCGCCCTGTCTCAGTCTTACACCCCACCTGTGTGGATCAACACCAACTCCACCAGGATTGTAAGGTGCAGACTCCTGCCCCCTGCCTCCAGAGTACCACTTGGTCAATGCCGAAACCTCTGGAATTGTGTGCGAATCGGACAGCTCCCAGGATTGTAAATGAGCCCATGTAGACAACTTCCTAGGAACCTAGGGTCAGTGTGATCACTAGACCCAGAGAAATTACATCCTAGGGTACTGCTTTTTTTTATTCATTAATAATGAATTGGTAGATGAGATCTTGGGGCCACTGTTTATAATGTTTGATTGATCTTGGAGAATGGGAGAGGTGCTGAAAACCTGGATGTAGTCAATAAATATTTATTAAGCTCCTACTAGGTGCCAGGCACTGTACTAAGCACAGGAAATACAAAAGAAAAAGTCCCTGCCCTCAAGGAATTTACAATCTAATGGTTGAAGACAACAAACAAAAGGAAGCTGAAAGGAAGGAAAGGCTCTAGGGGATAGCCTGGCCCTGGGGCCATGATGATTCCTGGAGTGGAAACCAAGACGAGCAGTTAAATGAAAATGCAGAATTACCTGAAAAGTCGGGAGCCCTCCATAAAGGAAGGCTTTGGGAGGAGTTTATGCATTTGCCCTTCAGCCCTCCCACTGGTGGAGAGAGGCAACTGAGGGTGCTAAAAAGATACTAAGTATCAAACTAAGTCAATCTGCATGATGATGAGATTTCAGATAATGAACTTATTCTGGGAGAGACTCGATATTTGTGGATTTGAAACCAAGCGGAACAGCGGATGGAAAATGAAGCAAGACGTGAACAAATGTTCCAATTTTTAAAAAAAAGAGGGTAGGCGAGTCCTTAAACAGGTAAGCTTGATTGCAATTCCTGGCAAAACCTTATAACATCACAAAGGGATGATTTGTGAGAAATTAGACAAAGGAGCAGTAATTACTAAGAGCCAGCAGGGCTTTGTCAAGAAGTAGTCATGCTTGCTAGACTAACATCATGTTTTCTTTTGACAACATCACTAGTCTGGTCAGAATAGATGATAGTACAATTTGGAAGATCCTGGACTGATTGCATGACCAGACCCAAAGAGTAGCTATTCTCTAGAAGAATGCCTCAAAGAAGTATAGGTAGCCTGTGCAGTTCAACACTTTTAATCAATAATGATGATAATTAGTCATTTTTCAGTCATGTCTGACTCTTCCTGATCTCATTTGGGGTTTTCTTGGCAAAGATACTGGAGTGGTTTGCCATTTTCTTCTCCAGATCATTTTACAAATGAGGAAACTGAGGCAAACAGGGTTAAGTGACTTGCCCAGGGTCACACAGCTAGCATCTGAGGCAGGATTTGAACTCAGGAAGATGAGTCTTCCTGACTCCAGACCGGGAACTCTATCTACTGCACCACCTAGCTGCTCTCTTAATCAATACTAAGTGAAATAGTAGATGGTGTGGGATGAAGTCATAGGTGGTATGGTTGTCAAATTTGTGCATGACAAGAAGCTGAGAGGGATAGTCTATAATACATTGAATGACAATGTCAGGATCCAAAATTATCTTGACTGGCTAAAACAATGGACCAAATAGAATAAGATGAAATTTAATAGGAGTAAATAGACAAAACTACAAAAAATAACTGCATTCAAAACAAAACAAAAAAAAGGACTAGGGTTCAAAACCAAAAAAAATTAACTGCACAAACAAAGGAGGAGAAGGTGTGGCTCATCAGTTCATATGAGGAAGTTCTGGGGCTTTAGGGACCTACAAACTGAATATGAGTCAGCAGTGAGTCAATAGGATCATAAAACTAGAAGTGGGAAAAAACCAAAAGGCCCTCAAATCCGGGGAGAGAGGCAGGACTAGAATCAGAAGTTGGCAAACTATGGCCCTTGGGCCAAATCTAGCTCACTGTCTGTGTAGAGCCATAAGGTAAAAGAGGTTTTTACTTTTTAAAAATATTTAAATTACTTTTGTTCAACGGCCATATGAAACAGACAGTGAGCTGGATTTGGCCCTCAGGCTATACTAGTTTTCCAACTTCTGATTCTATCCTACCTCTCTTCCCTATTTTTCAAATGAAGAAACAGAAACCCAGAGAGGTTAAGTAACTAAGTAAACATCACAAAGGGATAAATCATCAGAGGTAGGATTTGAACCAGATTCTTTTAAGTCAGAACAAGTGTTCCAAATGGCAGTCAAAAAAACCCTAACTGTCTTCAACTGTATTAAATGAACCATGATGTCTTGGCTTTAAGTCCAATTGTAGTCTACACTGGTCAGAGCACAACTACAGTAATGCATGCATTAAGTTACAGGCACTTCCTTTTAGGAAGGTCATTTTGACTCTCTGCATAAGGAAAAATTTTGCTTACAATTAGAACTGTCCCTAAGTAGAATAGGCTTCCTTAGATGACAGTTGGTTTCCCTTCACCAGATGCCTTCAATTAAAGGCTAGATGACCACTTGTCAAAGTTGTACAGTGGATTCCAATATAGTACAGGCTAGATTAGATGACGTCTAAAATCCAGTTCAAATCTAGCCCCAGACACGAGCTGAGTGACCCAGGGTAAATCGCTTAACCTCTGTTTGCCTCAGTTTCCTCATCTGTAAAATGGTCGTAAAAAAATAGCACCAACCTCCAAGGGTTGTTGTGAGGATCTGAGATATATTTATAAAGCTCCTAGCACATAATGGGCACTATAAAAATGTTAGTTATTATTATGATAGTGTTGAGTTCTGAGTGATGCATTTTGAGAGCCGTATAGCCAAGCTATTCATATAGACGATGGCAACCAGGATGGTAAGGAGACTGAAAACTGAGTTATATGAAGAATGATTGAAAGAAGGCTTTAACCTAAGAGTTTAGTGGGCAAGTACTCTTTAATCTTTGTGTGTAAGGCTGAAAGAGGAATTAGACTTATTCTGCTTGTATCCAGAGGGTAGAATAATGAAATAATAATAATAGTAGTAGTAATGATAATAAATAAAAATAATGAAATAGTGAAATAATAGGTGGAAGTTACAAAGAGGTAGCTTGTGACTCAATATAATGAAATTCCTGACAATTAGAACTTTTCCAATAATGGAATGGGTTGCTTTTATGATAAACTCACCTTATCATTAGAGAAGTTTAAGGAGAGACTTCTCAGGAACATTGTAGAGAGAATAGAGCTTAGGGTAAAGATGTAATGGAAGATCTCTTGAATGTCCTAATCTGATCTGTCCTGTTGATTCGGGTGCCAGTTATCAACTCCTTGAGGGCAATGACTTTGCCTGCTTATATATTTACTTTTCTCTCCATCTTCTTAATCCCCAGGTCTGGATCTACCTGAAGAAGGGAAGGGAGGGTACAGCTGTCCTTTATCCAAATATACAGCCCTTGTTTTCATTGCCTCCACAACCTTGTTTCCTTTATCTCCTATCTTTTCTCCCCTACAGACTGCCAATATCTGTGAAAGACAGCCTAAAGATGAAGATTCCAGTCCAGGGAAATCTAGGTCTTGGGGAAATTCTCAGAAAGTCACAAAGACCAGACCTCCTGTTTGCTGGTGTCAGATAGCCCGTTGTCATAACTCAGTCCCTAAAATCTACCCATCCCTTCGTGCATCTCCCAGACATCCTTTCTTCACATCTTTGTCTCCTGAGAATCACTTCAAAACTCCCTCTGGAGAAGTTTAAAAATGAAAGTTTGAAAGCTGCTAAGCTTTAAGGAAAGGAAATAGCATCAATGGGGAATAGCACACAGGAGAGCACATCTCTACCTCTGCCTCACAGTGATGGAGAGAAGGCTTCATGAAGGGACACATCCAAGGCATCTTCTGTAATTATTTTCCCTACTTCAAGGTGCCCATATAATGGAGAGACAGAGGGAGAAACACCTCCCAACCTAGAGAAACTGCAGATTTGATGAGGAAGACAGAGTCATTGCCCTCAGGGAGGCTTCTTCTGATGAAGAAGTCAGACACAAGGAGTAAGAAATGACAAAATGATAGAACTGAGCTGGGGGAAGTGCAGAGATGCTGATGAGGGTGATTGGAGGTGTGGAGACTACTAGAGTGGGAATACTTTCTGGGAGATGAGTCTGCAGTAGCATCTAAGTGAGACCGACAGCAACAAGTGGGGAAAAATAAGGAGTGGAAGGGTGGGGAGGAAAAGTGGAGAAGAGGTGATGGAGGGACAGAATTGAGGAGGCTCTGAGCCAGGATTAGCCTGCTGGGACAGAGATCGGCTGCTGCCCTCACACCACCCGGCTTGACTTAATGAGAATTGGCTTATGGCCAGAGCTGCGGTTTTGCGGCTAGCGCAGCTGGGGAGAAGTGGAGGGAGAGGTTAAAGGGATCGATGCTGTTTTGCATTGTAGATGCCACTGCTGTGGGAAGTCCCGGCGGCCCAGACGCTTCTGCATTCACATATAGGGCCCCTGCAAACAGGCACACTGGATCTAGGGACCCTGACTGGAAGGAGGAGGGGAGGAGGGAAGACTGAGCTGAGTCCTGGATGTATCATTGCCTAAATATGTAATAATGTTGGTCACTTCTCTATCTCTCCCTTTCTTAATTTGTAAAATTAAGGATTTGGATCTCTAAAGTCTTTCTCAGCTCTAACAATTTATGTATGAGTCTAAAATTCCTGAGATGCAGCAGGATGGCATGGCTAAAGGTCAGGCCGTCCTGGGTTCAGGTTTTACCTCTAACGCCTACTGGACCCTGAACAAGTCATCTAAGCCTCTCAGTGGCTTCAGGGAACTAAGTTACAGAGGAACTGATGATTTGCATGGTGAGAGATTTTTTTCTTACCTGGAGTTCCCCATATCTTTGAAATCAAAGCTCTAGAACAAAAATAAAACAATTTACTGGCTAGTAGAAGCTATTCTTTATGTCTAACCTTAATCCTTTCTGCTCCTGCCAAAGCCTCAGTTCCTCAGTGGAGAGGAAATCCCTTCCTGATCTCTCTTACACCCAAGCTATCTGTTCTGACAGCTGTTTGTTGGGGGTGTCCTGTATCTTGGAGTACTACTGTGTTGGTAGCTGCTGAGAGAAAGCCTAGAATCTGGACAAAGGGGCTGGTGGTTTGAGGAATGTGGAGGGAGGGCTTTTGCAAGCAAAGTTAATGGCCTAGTGGAAGCTTCAGTGTGGGAATTCAGCACTTTGTTCCTCTGCTTTTGAAAACAATTCAAAGCTGAGGCTGGTGGGGGCCAGGTTGGAGGACAACTTAGCTGATTCAGGAGCCATAACCTGAATGGAACAGCCAATTTGAGCTGTGGCCTGCACCTAGAGGCAGGAGATGATTCTCTTTGAGAACCTTAGTAATCAGTTCCAAACCAAACCCTCAATTCCCCAACTCTTATGGTAGAGAATGGTGATAAGACTGCAGGAAGGACTTTTAAAGGTGTGGAGAATTAGGGAGATGCTGAAATTGAGGAAGTGAGGGAAAATGGTCTCCTAAAAGGAGTGAGAGAAGTCTTAATTGCCTCCCATAAAATGAGCATATCTGGAGTTTTCCTGGACTGTGGGGTGGAAGTTGGGGGGGGGGAAGAATGAGAGGTAAAGGTCCGGGTAGCCCAGCCTCTCCTGGGAACAAATACAATTCCAACCTAAACTTTGTCCCAACTCCCACCACAAACACTGGGTCTAAGTGACTTAGAGGGAGAAGGAAGGGAGGCACCGGAACACCTGTCGGGGCAATGGAAGGAGGGAGATCAAGAGAGCTAGGAGGAGGGAGGAGCATACAGAAGCCTGTAGGGTGAACAGGATGTATATACTTAGGGCCCCTGAGAAATACACAGGTGGGGAACCTGGAAGGCCAGAAACTCTGGGAGAGCACTAACCCCTCAATTTCCCTTCCAGATTTGGGACCAGAACTCTGGAACCCTAGAAACAGGAATAGTTTAAGACCAGAGAGCCTACTATAAAGGAAACCTTGGGAGTAGTTAAAGGTGCCCAAGTTGCAGGTGCTAGGTCTCTAGGTCCATCCCGTTGGCCCTTTCCCTATTGGTAATCCATGGATCCATTGATCCTCTGATCCATCGATCTCTCTATCATTGAGGCGTCTATATATCAGCTCCTTACTCTGTCTGGCCTTGATCCAGATCTCTCGGATTTCTGTTCTTCCTCCCCCTCTCCTGTAGCCCCTAATCTTTACTCCTTTGCCCTTCTTTTTCCACTGCTCTCTGAACACGCTTCCTTCATTCTTCTTTCCCTCTACCTCCAAGCCTGGGAATAACCTGCACTCTTCTCTTATCCTATTTTCCCTCCTGCTTCCATCCAGAGGTTACTCTGGTAGCCTAGACCAAGGTTAGATCAGAGCAGGATCCCTTGTCCCCACTTCTCTACCCACCTCCCATCACAGTAGTCTCATTCATCTTAGGCTGCTTCTTAGGTAAAGTCTGAACTTCTGAATCAGCTTCTATATATCTGTCTCTGCATCCCTATGTCAGTCTCTAGATGTGAGTTGGATTTCTCATTCAAAGATCATTCCAAGGACCAGAAATGAGGAGAGTACAATTCATGCTTAGAGCAGCAAGGGCAGCAAGTTTATTGTCTGGTTATGCTGACCCCAAAATGGATTCCTCCTCTGAGTCCTCCTGGGTTGTGACCCTCCAAGAAAAGCTGTCCAGGGCCTGACAAGGAGCTCAGATGGGATAGGTGAACATAAATGGGTGGGTGGGAGTTGATGACTAGGGATGGGAAGAGGTGACAAAGGGCGTACTGAAACTGAGACAGGGTCTAAGACCAAGCTCAAAGAGGGCAGCTGGGCTCTTTGGTATATGATACAAGGGGGGAGGTTCTTTGGCTACATAGGTACAGGTGGAACAGGGGTCAGAAGCATTACCCCCATTATAATGAGGTAGACATTATATCGCAGCAAAATGTTTAGCTTCAAAGTTCATAATGGGGGTTGGGGTGTGATTTGGTATAGGGAATAGAGAAGGAACTCAGCTGGGAGGGGGGAGAATTAGGTTTTTTTCTTTTCCCCTATGCCTGGGAGTGCCCAGGTTGGGGAGGGGACTGGAAGACACAATGAAAGGGGTTTCCCCTCCCTCCAATGGATAAGATGTAGCTGGGACCCCAGGTTCCTAAGCATGAGGTCTCCTCAAGGTGAGGTGCTTGAGAGGGGACCTGGAGGGGTATGGGGTCCAGGACTTGTTGGGCCCTGAGAATTCCTGCTGTTGTTGGTAGCTGAGGCCAATGTAGGTGGTCGCCGGGCAAAGAGAACTCCTAGGTTTGTTAACACAGAAAGAAGAAAGAAAGTACAGTGAATCAGTGTCCTTTCTCCAAAATGCTTCTCTCTCTGCTTTCCTGGAGGACTAGATTTCTTCTGTCCCCTGTTACAGACTCCTCATTCCTCATTTCTGGCAGAAGTCTAAGAAACATAAAAACAATATAGTCCACCCCTTTAGCTCCTGGTGCCAGTGTTAGGCAACCTGGCCTCCATTCAAGTATAGGTGCCCCATGACTGTCCATACCAATACAGATAATCCCATGGTGCCTAGAGCCAGTATAGGTCTATGCCTCCTCAGGCATCCAATACTAGTGCAAACACACTCTGCCTTCCAGCAGTAGATGAATTCCTTGATGTACTTAGCCATGTAGACACCCAAATTCCCCTCTGCCTCCCCAAATAATGTAGATGCCCCCTGGCCAGCCATAGCAGCAGAAATATCCCTTATATCAGAATTGATCCTTCATGCCAATGTAGATGCCCTGTACAAATGTAAATCCCTTGAAATTCATGCCAGAGTAGACCTTTCCCATATCACAGTTACAGAATCTTAGTTTCCTCAACGACTACCCATAGGTTGTGGTTCCCAGACATCACCATCCTGGCTACCTTCCTCTGAATGTCCCACCAGATCATCAATGTCTTATTAAAATATGGCACCTAGAACTGAACACACATCTTCAGGGGTGGCCTGACCAAAACATAGGATTATCGCTGGCCACTGTGACTCCGGACACTACATATAGTAACTCAGACCAAGAGTACATTTGCTTTTATGGCTGTCACAACACACTGTTGATTTACAGTAGAAATCTGTATTCAACTAACCTTTACTAAGCCTTTTTTTCATAGGAACTGTTGTCTAGCCAGTTGTCATGAATGTGTCCCATCCTACTTGTGCATTTGATTTTTAAAAAATTGCACAATTTTACATATATCTCTATTAAATGTAATCTTTTTAGATTTGACCTGTTCAGATTACTTTTTAATCCAAATTCTGACAACCAGTGTACTGGATGTATCTCTGTGTGATGCTCAGATTTCACAAGCATTCTACTCTATGTCTTCATTAAGTTATGAGTAAAAATGTAGAATAGGAAAGGACTAAAGATAGAGACCTCCCTCTAGGTTCACATGGATCCATTAATCAATAGTCTTTGGATCTGATCTTTAAACTAACTAATTCTACTATCTCCCAGTCCATATCTCCTATCTCATCCAAAGGGACATCATGAGAGATTTTTGTCAAATGTATGCCAGTGTTGATGCCTTATAACATTATAGATTCATGACCCCTTTACCAATGTAAATGCTATCGGATTTCTATTTCATTTGTAAACACTCCAATTCCCTTAACAGTGAGGCTTCCTGACTTCTGCACTAGATATTCCTGAATCCCCATGCCTGTGTAGCTACATTCTGGCCTCCATACCAGTGTAGACAATGCCATTGATCTCCAGGGCCATGTTGATGCTGCTGATGCCATTGCCTGCCATGTTAAGGGGCACCTCCAGTGGCTCTTCTATCCAGAGAAGAAGGGAAGGAAGGTCAGTTAGTTGGGGGTGGGAGGATATAGGATACTGGACACAGAAAAGAATCATAGGTGAACCTCATACCAAGGAGATATTCCTAAACCTTTCACTGGTCCTGCCCCCCCCATTCCATTCTTTCATCGAATACCTCTTCTTCTTGTATCCTGTAACCTAAGGAAATGTGACCTCATTATCCCCTTAATTAGTCTTTCAAATCCCTATTCGAGCCTAATACCCCATTTGGTCCTCCAGTGACACCCACTGCCCCCACCAATGATCACATATCCCTTAGAAGTCTGAGACCTCACCATGCTATCCTTACCTCGGACTGAAGCCTTGCTTCTGGGAAGGAGATTGGGAGGCAAGGTTGGACGGGGAGGATCCACGGGTCCCATCAGCACAGCCTTCTTCTCAGGGGGTTCCTCTGGCCCTATCTTTTCTCTCATAGGACCCAGGGCCATTGGTAGTGAAATTCGTGGTGTAGCCACTGCTGGGGCAGGCCCTGAGCCCTCCTCTAAATAGGCAAGAGGAGCATTGACATCAAGGCTTAGACCTCTTAAACTGGCCCTAATGTCCCATCTGGGAAGAGTAGTGTCATGAAAATGACACCAACCAGACTTGGAATTAGAGAATTTTGCTATCTGCTTTACTTTAGTGTAGTAACTTTTTCTTTCTGGGCCTTGATGTGACCATGGACAAATAATTTAATCTTTCAGAGCCCCAGTTTCCTAATTTGTAAAATTACCTGTAGTACCAACATTACATAGTTGTTGAAAAGAATTAAATGAGATAATGTGTGTGTGTAAAATACGGTGTTCCAAAAGTACTAGTGCAGTTTTAATTTATCAAAGTTTATATGTGCATATATGTAAATATGCATATGTGTATATATAAAATATATAAATTCATAAATTTTAAAGCATTATATTAATGTCATCTAATCTCCTTTCTTCTCCCAGCCCCCAGAATATAGCAACCACCTCTACACCAAGAAGAGTGCCTAGTATGTGGTAGGTACTTAATAAATGCTAACTGAATTGAATCAAATCTTTTAGAAGAAGAGGATTAGCCATACTTTTTGATTCCACTGCTAGGCTTGTACCCCAAGGAGGTTAAAGATAAGCCACCACCACCACACACACACACACACACACACACACACACACACACACACACACACACACAGAGATTATAGCAACCTTTTTTATAGTACTAGAAACAAAGTTGGTGCCTGTCAACTAGGGAATGACTGAACACATTATGGTACCTGAATGTGATGGAATATTACTATTTTATAAGAAATTATTACTATAGAGAAACATAGAAAGACACATGATCTAATGCAAAGTGAAGTGAATGATGTAAATGGAAAGAGCAATAACAACAACAAACAAATGAAACTGAATGCTATGAAATTATAATGACCAATCTTAGTCCTGAAAAAGTTTTGTGAATGTGCGTCTGTCCCTCCTTTGAAGTGGGTGGAGATGGGCGATGGGTGTATGGAGCACTGTAAATACTGCCAAACTGTCCACTTGTTGGTTAGTTTCACTGAGACACTTTTTCTTCTTTGTTAAGGCTCTTTGGGTGGGGGAGGGGAAAGAGAAAAGGGGAAGGACATAAAAAGATAATAAAAATTTTTTAATTTAAAAATGAAGAGGGTAGATTAGGTGACCACTAAGTTCTTGACTACCCTGTATCTGTGGTCCTCTAAACCTAAACTCCTAGGTCCCATTTCTTCCCTTCTCCTCCTTGATAACTCCCTTTACTCCATCTCTTCTAAAGCTTATCTAATCTGAAGGGTAGGGGTTTAGGGAAGGGAATGAGTAGAGATGTCAACTAAGATGTTTGAGGTAAGGGAATTCGGATCCAGAGCTGGAAGATGCCTTGGAAATCATCCAGTCTAATCCTCTCATTTACAAAGGGAGAAAAACTGAGGCCCAGGAAGCTGTCCTCATTCTCAGACCAGTTTTCTGCTTTTCCCAGCCAGTCTGCTGTGAACAAACTGGAGCCCAGCATGGGCCTATGACAGTGTGTGGAGAGCTACAGAATTTTGACTTATTTTAATAGTAACAAATTAGCACGCAAAAGAGAAACAAATCACATATATATCAGGATCCTGCACCACCCGAATGAGGGCGCTCCCCTGGAGCCTTACCCCCTGCCAAGCACCCACCTCAAGATTCATTTCCCCACCCCCACACTCTAGTTTCAAACTTTGCTGGGTCTCCCTCTCTCCTTTCACTTGTCCCCTCTCATCTCCCCTCCCCGTCCCATCCACAGCCCCAGTCACCTCTGCCCACACCTTTCTTAATGGGGGCGTGGCCATGCCCGTGGCTATGGCCGAGTTGGGCGCAGGCGAGGGCTGGCAGACCTGGTGCGGCTGAGGTTGTAGCTGGGGGTCCCCGAGGAGGAGGGGGCCCAGCCGCGGGGAAGCTGAAGAGCGGAGCAGTCCCATAAGTCTGGCGGCGACCCTCTCGCCTGTTACTGTCGATGGCGGCCTGGAGCTCCCCTGGAGAGCTGAGCGCCCGAGTCTCACACTCGTAGGGGTAGAGATACTTCATATACCTGTAGGGCAGGGGTGGGTTGCATCCCCCCGGATACCTCAAATCTGAACTCCTAATTTTCTCCTAAACCTAGGACCCCTCGAAACCGAGTGCCCCCAGATCCCTCCCCCGATGTTCCCCACATCTAGTCCCAGTACATGCAGACCCCCATTCCCTTTCCCCTGGGCATACGCCATCACCACCAAGGCCCTAGCTCACTGGGTGCGCAGGGTGAAGGCTGCCGAGGTGATGGACGTGGGCAGGCTCAGGCCCCGAGTCACCTCCCTCCACACCTTCCGGTTGATGACCTCCACCAGCCCCCCCCTTCTCCGTCACCAGGCGGTACAGCACATAGAGATCCAGCACCTGCTTTGCCATGATTGGGATGCGGTTCACTGGGGTGCCTAGGGAGAAGGAGGAAAACATCGGGACAGTAGGAAGCAGAGAACAAGAGGGTCAGCAACGCGGGGCTGGGGAGGGCTCGGAAGTCTGTCACTTGGGGCGTGTAGGACACGGAGTTTCTAGGGAGGCAGGAAAGACATGGCCTCCCTGGAAAGTATAGGACAGGAAGGTCTCAGGGGGAACAGGGGGTCGGCAGGTGGGAGTACAGGTAAGGAGGGGTACACAGGAGGCAGCATGGCATGGGGCCGGTCGAAGCTGGGTACGGGAAAGGGATTGATGGCAGACACCAGGGTCCCCACAAAGGCCACCATCAGGGACAGGAATTTCTGCAGCAGGTCAGACGGAGGCAAGACAGCAGGAAGGTCTACCCGACTGCAACGGGATTGGGGGGGTGGGGAGCGGAGAACGGAGATTAGGGAGAGAGAAGAAAGCATTGGCTTTTCTCTCCCGGGGGATCTCTAAGGGGCTGGGGTAAGGGAGGGGAACTGCCCAGAGGCAGGAGGATTCTTGACGGTCTCTTCTCTAGCTTGCAGAGGTTGGGGGGTTTTCGGATCCTGTCCTGCCGCCCCCACTCCCGCTCCCGCCCCCGCCTGGCCAGTGACAAAGGGTTCTGTCGAAGCTGAGCGATGGGCCCCAGTTAATTTGCGCTGATTTTTACCGATCCCATTCCCACCGCCAGACCCTTTGTGCCCGAACAATTAGCTGCAGGCCTGATTAATGGGGGGAAATTATCGGCCCCTCGGGACTCTTCCCCTCCTTTCTTTTCCCCTCCTCCCAGCTCCCCATTTTCCTTAGCATATCCTGATTGGGGTGTAGGGGTGGGCATGAACATCCTCCCATTCTCTCCCCTCTTTCCAGGTCTAGCTAACTATAGGAGAGATGGTCTGGGGTGGGGGAACTGGAAAAGTGAGCTTAAATGTAGGAACCAAGGACCTGGGGATGGGGGGGCCGAGGGGAGGCGGAGAACAGCTTGAGAGACAAGAAGCCTGTTTGTGGGGGTCAGAAGTTTCGGGGAGAGACAGAGGCAGAGGACTCGATGGGGCAGAGACCCCGTAGGTCTCTCTGGGAGCACTAGAGCGGCACAAAAGGAGGGGGGCAGAGGCAAGTTAATTAGTGGCCTTATCAGGCTGCGATGGGGAGGGAGTTAATTAGCTTTGGAGAAAGAGATAATGACTCAGACTCTGGGCCCATGAATCTGGGGAGCGGAGGGGGGGGGAGTGATGGACAGGCCACCCAACGTGCTCCACAAGCTGGGTTCCTCTCGCCAATTCTAGCTCTTTACCCTGGAGTTTTGAGACCCCCAGGGAGAGTTCCCTAGCCGTCTTCATTTTCCTAATTCCCCCTGCCTTATCCTCACCCTTTGGAAAGTCCTTTCTGTTGTCTAACTTCAGGAAAGGTTTGCAGTGTCAGCCCATATCCAAAGTTTGCCTTGGGGTGGGAGGAAGGAACCTTTTCTATTGGCAATGAGGGAACTGAATCAAAAAAAAAAAAAACCCGAGCCAAAGACCCAGGAGTCCTGAGACCCCAGCTCAAGGCTGTGGTCCAGTAAGCTCCCTCCCACCCCAGTAACCCCTCCCCGGGGTGAGTGTTATCGATTGAAGACTCATTAACCTGCCAGCATCTCCGTTGCTAATTAATTCCCATGGGAGAAAGGGAGGGGCTAATTAATCGTGGTAGGTCAGAGGTTAAAGATGTTATTGAGGTGTCCCCATCCCCCCCCCCCGCCCCAACCCCGATCTGTCCAAGGGGCCCGAACCTCACAACTTCTCCATTTCTAAGCCACTCTCTTAAGAATGGGGACTAGCCTATGAGGGTTTGGGTCTGGGACACCTGCGGGGGAAGTAGGGGTTTGTTTCTGACCCACAGTATTTTGGGCCCCGAGACCCCGCCCCCCCATATCCTTCCCATACCGCCCCTCACCCCTCTTCTGCATGAAGCTGAACAGGTCATCCAGGAATTCTTTCCTCTTGGGGTCTGCGTCGAGCTCATACAGCTGGGGGCGGGGAAGAAGGTGTATTTACCATCCTAGACCCCAACCGTACCTTTCCTCCCCCTCCCTTTCCCTCAAGCAGAACAATTTCCCTAGGCCCCATCAACAAAAACTTCCGCCCATCGGGATGATATTTAGAACTGGGTCGAGGGTAAAGGTCTTTGGGATGTGAAATGCCTTTGAAATGGATTGGTGAAACCTGAGGCATTCAAGGAGGTCCTAATTTGAGCCAGGAGGGGACCAAAGAAAGAGTCATAGTTCTGCCCTTGGGAGTCTGAGTTCCCACACAACCATTAGTGGCCTGAAAGGAGTCAGGAGTGGACAGAGTTGTGGTCAGCCAGAGGGAAGGTATTCTGAAGGAGAGGGTACTTCCCCGACAGAGGAGCATTGAGGATAAGGTCACAGCCTGAGTCCCAGTCCTTGGTATACATTAATTTGAACCCCACTATGACGTCCTCTTGGTGACTGGTTAAGGAGCCAATCCTCTTGTCAACTCCAGTCAGGGTTTAAAACTGCCCTCACACCTCCCACCCCACCCCACCCCACTCCACCCTGTGGGTCTCTGATTGGGTGGCTCACAGCTTTTTTTTTTTTTTGCCATGTCATTGGTTATCAAGGGTGTGATTCTATGGCTCTGAAACATTTAGGCCTGCAGAAGAGGAGCAATAAAGGGGACCAGAAGTGATCCCTGTGACATTATTAAAAAAAAAACAACCCTGGGTGATAACCAGAATTGACTAAATCCCTCAAGATTTAGTCCTTATTTCACACTCAAAGAATAAGAACTCCTGAATGATAATTGGAATAACCATCAATAGTAACAAAAACTATGTAACCCCCCAAGTAGCCCTTCCTAATAAACCATTTGGAACCCCCCTCCCAAACTCTGTCATTCACACCATTGATATCCATCTCCCACCCACAGTAATACAATTAACATATCTAGAAAACCTTCACATACACATAAACAAGATGTCAAGGCCTTGGGGGGAGGGAAAAGAGTAAAAGAGATTGGGGGAGTGGAAAGTGTAACAACTGAGCCAGGAGGTATAAACCATCCACCCCCTGTTTCTTCCCACTTCCACAAGCCAGAGGAATCTTAGAGCCACCTCATCCCCATTCCCAATTCCTCAACCCCCATCCCTCACTGTCAGGTAAGGGGGTAATGGAACGTGACATATGGAAGGGGAGAGTGCTCAGAGTCTAGGCTGGGAGGAGAAAAGGATGGAGAGTGGACAATGAGAGCCCCCCCCATCTGGAATTCTCTACAGCATAATGGACCCTCCCCACCCCCAATCCCCACAAGAAATTTCTCTCAAGATCCTTGGACCCCTTTTCAGCTATTCTACCTCTGCATTTCTCTTGTCTCTGAATCTCTGTCTTACTCTGTCTTCTCTTTCTTTCTCTCTCTAACTCTGTCTTTATTTTTCGTCTGCGGAGCCCCAGGGGGTGGGGTATGTGGGATGATCGGATTGGGGCCCCAGTGGCTGCTCCTTCCTGGGGAGCTTTCAGGAGAAGAGGGAGAGGATTGGGTAACAGGGCCTAGGAAGGGGTCAGGTGGAGTATATGGGAGGTGAAGGTCAAATTCTCTAACTCATATTCCACCTACCTCTCCCAGTACTAGAAAGTACTAGAACAGCTTGGAGATAGGGGTGGGGTGGGGAAGTGTGAACCCAGACTTCTAGGCTCTATATGTTACCTATAGGGACCTCCTACCTGTTTAAACTGTTCCTCATAAGTCCATTCATGGTGCTGGGGACCAGGAGGCTGGCTGGGAGGGGACACAGGTAGGCCTGGTCCTGGGCTGGGCTGGGGAGGTTGCTTCTGAGGCCTAGCCTCCTCTTCCTCTTCTTCTTCCTCCTCTTCCTCCTCTTCATTTTCACCCTCTTCAGTATCCCCCAGAGTCCCCTCTTCAGGAGACTGCTGGGCCCTGGCACCCACTGGATGGGATCGTTGGGGAGGCAGGGATGGGGGGTTTGAAAGAGGAGGTGGGGGTGGAATCGCACCTTGAGCTAATCGAGCTGCCTGCTGCCTTTGTAGGGTCTCCATCACAGCTTCCAGCCGCAGTCCACCCCCAGGCGGGGCTCCAGGCATAGGGCGGGGCATGGGGGAGAGGGCTGCCTGCAGGAGCACAGGGGAGGAAGTATTTCGGGATTGGGAAAACCAATACTAGGCCCTCTCCGTGACACCCCACTCCAGGCCAGACTTCCCCCCCCTTCCAAAGACCCTTCCAACTCAGCCTCCTCCCCAACTCTCTGACAATATTCCTGACCCTCAACTCTTCTGGAGCACCTCATAGCTCAGATTCTCCCTGTCAACCTCAGACCCTCTTTCATGGAGCTGAGAATCACTCTCACATTAAACTCTGATGAACACATGCACATACTCCAACCCCTTCCTGTGGTCAGCCTCCCTTCCCCTAGTACCCCAGTTCTCAAGGTCCTGAGAGGACAATGAGGAAGGGAAGAATAATGAGGAGGAAAAAAGGTGGATAGAAACAGAAATAGAGATGGAGACATTGAGAAAGAGACTTGAAGAGCCAGAAAGAGGCTATGAAACTGAGAGGTAGAAAAAGGGACAGAGATCAGAGGGCAGAGACAGAGATAGGAATAGAAAGAGACAGATTTAAGAACAGAGAAAGGGACAGAGACAGAGACAGGAGAAGGGTAAGTGACAAACAGAGACAGAGCTAAGAGAAAGAGACTGAAAAAAAAATAAAGACAGAGACCACTGGAAAAAGTCTAGTCTTAAAGAGAAAGTGAAAAGAGGTTGAGGGCAAGAGGCTTGGGGGTGGGGAAAGCTGGGAGGTGGTGGAGATGGGAATTCCCTGGACATTAGTAACTGGTCATCCAGGAAATTGGACACCTCAAGCATCCCAAACTCTAGTCACTTTGGACACTGATCTCTTCCCACACAGGTCACCACCTCTGACACTGGTCACGTTGCATACTTCGGACACTGGTTCCCTCCTCACCCTGTTCCTCAATCCCCCAGTCCAGACTTTGAGCACCTTGGACTAGTCCTCCTGACCCAGGACCCCGATCTTCCAAAATCCCGGACTCACCAGCGCGCTGCGGGCGGCTGTCCCCAGGTTCTCCACCATGCTTTCGCAGCCCTGCTCCCGCCTCTGGCTCCCGCTGCTCCCAGCTCTTGGCTCCCGGCTCCTGGCTGCAGGCTCTGGTTCCAATTCTCAGTCCCCGCTCCGATCTGGTTACCTCTTCTCCTCCTCCTGCCCTTGTTCCTCTGTCCGGCTCCCTCCCTCCCTCCTTATAACCTTAGTCCCTATCCCTTCTTCGTCTCCTTCTTTCTCTCTGTTTTCTTTGGCCACCCGCGACCGGTTGGAGGAACGACAGCGGCAGGGAGGGGCGGGCGGGTGGCGCTGTCCCGGGACCCAGGCGTCCGGGCCTCCCTTGGGGCGGGTGGGGCGGAGCAGATGCTGTGAGAGCTGTCGCGCTCTCTCGCTCGATCCCTCGCTCTGTTTCTCTCTCCTTCGCTATCTGGCTCCTTCCTCCCTAGCTTTTCCTCCTCTCTTTTCTGGCAACAAGTGTCCGCAGGCACCAGGTCCCTAGGGCGGTCATTCACTCTGCAGAGACCGGGAGAGATATGTATGTGGTTTTGGTGGGGTATCTTAAGATGGTGAGTGTGTGTGGAGTGGGTGAAACATTCTCTTTGAGAGAGGTGACATTATAGATGTAGGTAACATTGAGAGAATGGCACTATGTTCCCATTGAGAGTTTGACTATAATGGTGTATGACACTGCTTGTAACATAATGTGTGGGTACCATTGTGTGTCTGTGTAAAATAGCTATATGCATGTTTTTCCTAAAGTCAGGAACATTTCCCCATGCTTCACTCAAACGAACACACTCATACATTCATACACTGCAATACAGATTCAGACACACACCAACACAAACACGTTCATACACAGGTACATACTGGGACACACAGAGAGACAAACACACATTCATATACCTCCTCCTTGGTCATGATCACTGCAGCTGTCCTGCCGCAAAGCTGGGAATCATTCTTCCTGATGCTGGAATGAAGACAGACAGAGACCCAAGATAGAGACAGAGATACCCAAGGAACCCAGTACAAATGCAGACATTCTACAATTCCTGGTTCCCACCAAACTAAAGCAGTTTTCTCCCCACAGATGGTCTGGGTCTGAATTACTCAGATATTGTCTCAGCTCTCCACTTTCTTTTACCTGCATAGATTAAAACACTGTAATGCATTGAGACAAAAGTACACAATCTCCATCTTGCACAATTATGAAAAAAAAAACCCACATGCAGAAAACTTATACATTGACTGTGTGACTCCCAAATCTGCATCTTCAACTCCAGCCTCTCCCTAAAGATCCAGATAGGTATTTCCAATTGTCTATTAGTTATCTCCACCTGGATGCTGCAATAGCAATTCAAGTTCAATAGGGCCACAAATGACCTCATCATATTCCTCCAAAACAGGCTATGTTCCCCCTTATTTTTCTTATTGACACCACCATTCTCCCACTCCTCTCAAGTGCTAAACCTGAGAATTATCTCTGACTTCCGAAGGAAGTGCCCTATCTTCTACCCCCATTCAACATTATATAAAATCACAGATTCTCAGAGAGCATTCAGTCCAACCTAATTCTTCATAAGGATCCCAATACGTCATCATACAACACTTGCTTGAAGATCTTTAGTGAGAGGGAACACACTGTCTCCTGAGGAAGTCCATTCCGTTTTCAAAATTGTTAGGAAGATTTCCCTTATATCAAATCTAAATTCACTCTTTGCACCTTCTACTCATTACTTGCCCTGAGGCCAACCAGAACAAGCTTAATCCCTTTATATCTTCTTCAGACTAAATATCTCCATCTCCTTTGATCAGTCCCATATGGCATGAATTCAAAGGCCTTACCTTCATGGTCACCCTCCTCCAGCTCTCCAACTAGAGATCCAGCATCCAGGCTTATTCATGTCCTTCTTAAAATGTGGAACTTGGAACTAAACACAATACTCTGTAGCTTAGTATAGGGACATTATCACCTCCCTCATCCTGGACACTAGGTAACCTCAATTTCATTAGGTTTCTTCATTGCCCTACCACACCATTGACTCTGTTAACACAACCGAAAATGCGTTCTGGCCTGCATAGGTCTCTAACTGGGGAATGGCTGGAGGACAAACAGAGCAGGTCAGATATGGGTGTGTCAGGAATCAAGTAGCGGTTTAATTAATTAATTTCAGAGTGAGGAATGTAGTTTGCAAACCTGAAGTTCTGAGGTGAGTTCCTCATGCTGGAATAAAGGCAAAGTTTATGTACATAAATCACAAGTGGGAAGGGGGTGAGGGAATATAATCATTTCTAGGTCTTGAGCGGTTTCCCCAGGCAAACTCAGGAGTGCAGGACAATACAGGTGTTCTTGAGTTCTGTAGGAACAGTTCTTAAGTTCATTGTCTCAAATCTTGGGGGTCCTGATTACATGTGGGGTTCAGAACCAGAATTCTGTGACAGGAACAGGTTTTACAATCTTTGATTCAATTCGCTTAACATTCATAAGGATAGGAATGTAGGAACTGTCAGAGTTGATTGATCGCCTTAAGCTGCATTGTGAGTCTCTGACTCCCAAGCCAGAATCTCCTGAGAAATGGGAGTTCTAAAATGTCCAGATAGTTAGTATAATCGTTACACATATCATATCAATTAATATGAGAATCTAAATCCCTTTAAAGCTCATATTAAGCTCACAGCCCACTGTAAAAAAAAATAAATAAAAACCAGATCTTTTTTTCAGTGGAATTACTATGTAACCACACCTCCTCCCCCTCTTCTTGTATTTCTGAAACTGATTTTTGAATTTAAAGGTAAGACTTCACATTGGTCTCTATTACCTTTCATCTTATTATATTCAGCTCAACATTCTTGCCTTTCAACACTTTTTGGATTCTGACTCTGTCATACAATGTATTAATTATTGTTCCTAACTTTGCGTCACATGTAGATTTAATACCTTTACCTAAATCATTGATGAAATTGATAAAAAAGCATTGGGCCAAACATAAATCCTTGGAGCGCTCCTCTAGATAACTCATTCTAAGTTAATATTGACTCATTACTCAGTATTCTTTGGGTTCAGTCCAGAGATATTTAAAAAATATAAAATTCAAAGTTGTTTTAATTTTCATTTCTCTGATTATCAGATTGAATATGCTAAAAATGAGTACTAATCATCTGCAGTTTTTTGATTTGTGATTATTATGATCAAACTCAGCCCTGAGAAAGAGTTAGGAAAAATCGTGTACTCCTGTTGCTAAAGAGATAGGGGACCATGGCAGTGGAATACTGCATACACTGTCAGACACAATGGATCTGTTGGCTAATTTTATGGAAATCTTTTTTTTCCTATTACTTCCAAAATCTTTTTTTTTCCAGTTCTCTGTTTTTTTTTGTTTAATTAATTTATTTTGATTTATCAGCAATGACTTCCATATGCTTTTGAGTTTAAAATTTTTCTCCCCCTTCCTCTCCACCACTCTTCCCAAGATGGCACACAATCTGATACAGGCTATACATTTACATTCCTATTAAACATATTTTCACATTAGTGATGTTGTAAATAAGAATTAGAACCAATAGGAGGAACCACCAGAAAGAGGAAACAAAACTCAACAAAAGAAAAAAAATAGCAAATAGTATGCTTCAGTCTGCATTCAAACTCCATAGTTCTTTCTTTGGATGTGGATACTTTTTTTCATCATGAGGCCTTTGGAGATATCTTAGATCCTTGTATTGCTGGGAAGGGTTAAGTTTATCAATATTAGTCATCGCACAACGTGGCTGTTACTGTATACAACATTCTCCTGGTTCTGCTCACTTCACTCAGCATCAGTCCATATAAGTCTTTCTAGGTTTTACTGAAGTCAGCCTGTTCATCATTTCTTATAGCACAATAGTATTCCATTATATTTATATACCACAACTTGTTCAGCCATTCCCCAAGTGATGGGCATCCTTTCAATTTCCAATTCTTTGCCACCACAAAAAGAGCTGCTATAAATATTTTTGTACATGTGGGTCTTTTTCCTATTTATATGATCTCTTTGTGATATAAGCCCTAGAAGTGCTATTGCTGGGTCAAAGAATATGTACATTTTTATAGTCCTTTGGGTACAGTTCCAAATTGCTCTCCAAAATGGTTGGATTGTTTCACAACTCCACCAACAATGCATTAGTATTCCAATTTTCCCGCATCTTCTCCAACATGTATTATTTTTCTGTTTTGTCATCTTGGCCAATCTGATAGGTGTGATGTGGTACCTCAGAGTTGTTTTGATTTGAATTTCTCTAATCAATAGTGATTTAGAGCATTTTTTCATGACTATAGATGGCTTTAATTTCTTCATCTGAGAACTGCCTGTTCACATCCTTTGACCATTTATCAATTGGTGAATGACTTGTATTCCTGTAAATTTGACTTAATTCTCTATGTATTTTAGAAATGAGGCCCTTATCAGAGAGACTGGTCAAAAATCTTTTTTTTTTTTGCAAGGATTCTTAACTGGGTAGCATAAGAAGAAGATATGGGTATATATATATCTATTAAACATGC